CCTAACCCTTTCCTAACCCTAACCCTAACCCTAACCCTAACCCTAACCCTAACCCTAACCCTAACCCTAACCCTAACCCTAACCCTAACCCTAACCCTAACCCTAACCCTAACCCTAACCCTAACCCTAACCCTAACCCTAACCCTAACCCTAACCCAAATCCTCCCTAACTGCCACGGATCAGCCCATAACATAGCTGCCCATTACGGGGAAAAAGATGGTGTTGCGGGCAAAATCCGTCCGAGTCGGAAGATCCACGTCCGAGACGAACTTGGTGCGGACGCCCCCGATTCATGCAGAATCACTCTCCGTAGCCCTGTTCTATTTTTAGAACAACCCCTGTTTTTCGCCGCCCTGGCTCCGAGAATAATCTTCTTTTATCCTAACCCTATCCCTAACAGTCGGGCCTGCTCTGAACCTCTCCTTGCACCACCCAACTCTATGAGAAACGACTGTCGCTTAACCCTAACCCCCAACAGTGTTTCTCCCAGTAACCCCCAACGGTAAGACTCTGTGAGCGCCTCCAGCCCCAGTCGAGTGGGTCGAAATGATTCCTGGGGAAAGCAAAGTGCCCACCATATCTCTTTCCACTTGTTCGGCCCTGTTAACCTATCGTCCCTGTTAGCGCTTTACTCCTTTCGCCTTCCAGACCTCGCTTGCCCAGGGTGGGACGTCTCGGAAACACACTCGGAGAAGTTGGGCAGAGCTACAGCGACCGTCCGTCCAGGCTCCAGCCAGCTCCGGGAACACCCCCATGACCCTAAGTCTTGTGAACTGCTGCCAACTCGGACAAGGACCCCCTCATCCTTGAGGGCGAGTGTCGCTGAGGGGAGCATCACTCGGGCGGTAGCTCTCTCTGAGAAGAGCACTCCTGCAGTCAGTCCTCTCTAACCTGTGGCTGCTGGTCACCCAATCAAGTGCTCAGAATGCGGTGTTCCTGGAACACCACATACAGAGACGCCAACCAACGGACTCAGAGGGTGGTGTTCCTGAAGCACCCGCCGTACAGGCGTCTCAACCCCAGGACTCAGAATGCGGTGTTCCTGGAACACCGGCCACATCCGCGCTCACCACATTCTGTCTGACCCCGCCGCCAGGCTCACCCCGGTCCAGAGGGCCAGTCAGTCCATCCTCACCGCATTCTCCTCACTCTTGCTGCCAGGGTCCGTCCAGGGTGAGGGCCGGATATGACCCCAGGGTCAGACCGACCCTACTCCAATTTTTCCCTCTCTATAACCCCGTACAGAGATCTCTCAACGACCACTCTCAGAATGTGGTGTTCCTGGAACACCCACCGCGTACAGAGGTCTCAACCAACCACCACATCTCGGAATTGCGGTGTTCCAGGAACACCGCGTACGGAGGTCTCTGCCACCGGCCTCAGAATGTGGTGCTCCTGGAACACCACCGACAGTGGTCTCAGCCACCGGACTCAGAGGGAGGCAGTTCCCAGGAACACCGCGTACAGAGACACTAACCACCGATCTCAGAATGCTGTGTTCCAGGAACGCCGCATACAGAGGCCTCTAACCCTAAGACGCAGGGACAGAGACAGAAGCCCCAGAACCAGTGGTTCTCCTCCCTAACTGCCACGGATCAGCCCATAACATAGCTGCCCATTACGGGGAAAAAGATGGTGTTGCGGGCAAAATCCGTCCGAGTCGGAAGATCCACGTCCGAGACGAACTTGGTGCGGACGCCCCCGATTCATGCAGAATCACTCTCCGTAGCCCTGTTCTATTTTTAGAACAACCCCTGTTTTTCGCCGCCCTGGCTCCGAGAATAATCTTCTTTTATCCTAACCCTATCCCTAACAGTCGGGCCTGCTCTGAACCTCTCCTTGCACCACCCAACTCTATGAGAAACGACTGTCGCTTAACCCTAACCCCCAACAGTGTTTCTCCCAGTAACCCCCAACGGTAAGACTCTGTGAGCGCCTCCAGCCCCAGTCGAGTGGGTCGAAATGATTCCTCGGGGAAAGCAAAGTGCCCACCATATCTCTTTCCACTTGTTCGGCCCTGTTAACCTATCGTCCCTGTTAGCGCTTTACTCCTTTCGCCTTCCAGACCTCGCTTGCCCAGGGTGGGACGTCTCGGAAACACACTCGGAGAAGTTGGGCAGAGCTACAGCGACCGTCCGTCCAGGCTCCAGCCAGCTCCGGGAACACCCCCATGACCCTAAGTCTTGTGAACTGCTGCCAACTCGGACAAGGACCCCCTCATCCTTGAGGGCGAGTGTCGCTGAGGGGAGCATCACTCGGGCGGTAGCTCTCTCTGAGAAGAGCACTCCTGCAGTCAGTCCTCTCTAACCTGTGGCTGCTGGTCACCCAATCAAGTGCTCAGAATGCGGTGTTCCTGGAACACCACATACAGAGACGCCAACCAACGGACTCAGAGGGTGGTGTTCCTGAAGCACCCGCCGTACAGGCGTCTCAACCCCAGGACTCAGAATGCGGTGTTCCTGGAACACCGGCCACATCCGCGCTCACCACATTCTGTCTGACCCCGCCGCCAGGCTCACCCCGGTCCAGAGGGCCAGTCAGTCCATCCTCACCGCATTCTCCTCACTCTTGCTGCCAGGGTCCGTCCAGGGTGAGGGCCGGATATGACCCCAGGGTCAGACCGACCCTACTCCAATTTTTCCCTCTCTATAACCCCGTACAGAGATCTCTCAACGACCACTCTCAGAATGTGGTGTTCCCTGGAACACCCACCGCGTACAGAGGTCTCAACCAACCACCACACTCGGAATTGCGGTGTTCCAGGAACACCGCGTACGGAGGTCTCTGCCACCGGCCTCAGAATGTGGTGCTCCTGGAACACCACCGACAAAGTCTCAGCCACCGGACTCAGAGGGAGGCGT